GAGGAGGAGGAGGAGGAGGAGGAGGAGGAGGAGGAGGAGGAGGAGGAACCACCACCTTTGAAATATATTTACACTACAAAATGCAACAGAACCAGAGGTGGTATTCAGCAGGTCCTGACCAATAGCAGAAATTTTGAGTAGCTCAGAAAACTGGCAAATATCACCTCTGATTGGAGATTTTATAGTATCCTTCCCCTGCCACACCCACCAAGCCACACCCACAGAACCGGTAGTAAAAATATTTGAATCCCAACCACTAAATAGAACCACAACCACCCTCTCAGGAAATCCTCTTATGAAAGGTCTTTAAAGTAGACAAATACATTATTTTATGAAGAAAGAAGCCATGACAGTTTTCTTGCAAAATTTTCTTGCTACCTTTAGAACCTTCCATTTTCTTCCACATCTAAACTATTCCATTTCTTCATCACTTAAAAGAAGGTGGTTGGATTAATGCCTTCTAAGGGGGTCACAGACATTTCCAAGGAGTGAGTTTTCTAGCCTCAGACCATGCAGACATGACATATTTTTCTACACATTCCCCTCCCCCCAAAAAACTTGGTTCAGCCCCTTCAATAAAAGATACAACTTCCCTCTTTTTTTTATTACTAAAGTTTTATTTGGGTTTTCACACATACAAAATACAAATAAAACATCTTTTTTGAAAATAGCATGGTCCCAGGTTGAACTTCTTTATTCAGACACAAAACTCAATTTCATGCTCCTTTTTGTATTCTGTTCCATATCTTATACTATTTTACATTTTCTATATAGTTTTTCCCTTCTTTTAGTTTTTTTTCAATTTTATTTTGATTATCTCATCTCAATTCAAATCATTATATTTATACTTTCGTCTGTTCTGTTTCAATTTCATATTATCTTTTCTCATTAAACAAATTTTCTCCTGTAGTTACTAATTGGAGTATGACACCTTTATATCTTTTAATTACATCCATTCAACTCTTATTTAAACTTCAATATATACCTTAAGTTTATGACCTTCAATATAATACATAATACATAACTTCCAATCGAATTCTGCTTGGTACATTCTTATAATACACACTATATTCTTAAAAAGAAAGAAAGAAAGATTGTCAATATATGCAATTATAAACCCTCATTCCATTCCAGTTCAGTTCTATCATAAATAATCATTAAAATCTTAACATCGTTAACACTTCTTTTCAATTAAATATCATACTTCCTTAAAAACACATATAATCTCCATAATTAATTTTTCCCTTCTCTTCACATATGTTTTATAAATCATTAAATATACCATTTGTTACATTTATTTATTGACAAGCATTCCACTGAATTCCGATAGCTATTTTATCAGACATTTTAATCATACATTGTTTCATATTTTCTAAAGTTATTTCTGTTTCTAATATAACCATACTATCTTATGTACTTTTGCAAAATCCCTTTTTCCATTAAGTTTTCACCCATTATCTCTAAATAAGCCCTGTTTCTCTCTATTTTGCTTCTGTCCTTTATAACTTCTTTTCCTTTCTTTCTTCCCTCTCATCTTCTCCCTCCCCTTTTTATCCTTGTCCCTCTAATTCTAATTCTCTCTTCTGCATTTCCCTCTTCTGTTGCTTTCTGACTTTATACTTTTTTTTTTGGAGTTGTTTTTCCCAATCTTAAACTTTCCATTCTCTTTCCCCCCTTTCCTTTTTTCTCCCCATCTAAGATTACTTGTTCATTAGAGATGGCTTCTTCTTTGTTGCAATCTTCTTATTCTGCAGGCATTTCTTGTTGTTTCTCATAATTGCAAATCACCATTTCTAAAAACTGAAATACGAAGCCAAAAGAACCTCTCCCTTCTTGTGCATCTTCTTTGTTCCATTTAAGTTCCATTTTTAGTTCTAAAAGTGGAGCCATTTTAAACAATTTTAAACAATGCCCAATTGATTTTAGTCATTCAAAACAATAACCAAGAACCCAGAAATCATCAAGTAATCCAGATAGTCCCAAGTTATATCTTATTTCTTTTTCGACTTTCTCTTCCTGGGGTTTTTGTTGCAATATTTCAGTTAGAATGTATCTTTTGGAAGTCTTGTTGAGATTTTGCTGTAAGTTCTTTTTTAATTCCAGGCAGTCTTCTCCCTTCCAGATCCTGCCCTTTTATGCTTTTTCTTTCCTTTGTTGTTTTCAAAAGCTTTTAATCCAGAAATCTTTATTATCCCTTTGTCTTTTTATTTTCAGCATTAAATGCCTATTGATGTCAAAGTGGATTTTTTTTCCAATTTCTTGCTTAAGTCTCTTACCTGTCAGTATAGGAAAAGGAGAAAACCAAATCTTTCCCCTTTTCTCTCCTTCACAGCTTAAAAATCTTCTTAGTGAACAATGTTATTGTTTTTTAATAGTTTCAATTCCGCGGTACCTTATTTGTAGCATTTGCTGTTTGACCTGGTCAACCAAAACTTTCTCTTCTTATCTTCCTCCTGCACATTCTTTTCCAGTCAAGTTCTTCTTTGAGGTGGCCATTTCTGACCACCGCTGCAACTGCTTTCAAGAAAGGGAGTAATGGCCAGCTGAGGAGGAGAGATGCAGCTCTCCTCAATCCTGCTAGCAGTCTCCCCCCTCTTCACTGCCTCTATGGGGTGGCTTAGCCCCAAAACCAGCCAGCTCAGGGCACTCCAGCAGCAAGCACAGATCAAAGCCTCACAGAGATGAGGTTTCAGTCTGTCGCTGAAGAAGCTCAAACCAGAAGCCGCGCAACTTCCCTCTTTTTGTAGGCTAATCCAAAGGCCCATGCTTTGGTATGCAACTGAGGATGTAACTTTTTAGTCACAATGATCCACAATGTCCTTAAGCTTTGTCAGTGGCTGGAATGTCCTGTTGTGGCCCACCAGCAGAGCTGGCAGCAGATTCGGACAGTGAGGAGGTTGGGGAGGAACATAGTCCAATCCTGGAGTCTGTGGAAGGCTCTAATGAGTGCTCTGTATCAGAGGCAGAGATTGGGCCAGGGCCATCTGACAATTATCAACTGCCTTGGACATCAGTGAGGCAGAAGAACAGCTGGAGCCTGTTCCCAGTATGGAGGAATGCACATGCAGAGCTACCAGAAAAAGGGAACAGCTAAGGAATAAGGGTCAACTTGGGAGTAAAGCCACAGGTGGATATAAATGGCCCCTCCCATAGGGAATAAAAGAGGAGTAAAAGGGGAGGGGTGTTTGCAGGAGGCAATTAGTTCATTCCTGCATTCTTGCCAAGTATTGCAGCATCTGAAATATATCAGGCTGGCCTCCCTCCAAGCCTGATAAAGGTCAGTAATTGTGAACTATCTTGAAAGACTGTGAGCCAGGACTTTGCTGGAGAGGAATTCATTGTAAATTAAATAAAAGGGGTTTATCAGGATGAGGACTCAACTGCTGGGCAAGGCTAGGTCAGAACATGTCCATCCCATGTATTTCTTCCTCCATGCAACATCTTGGAATGTCTTTGTTAACTTTTGACAGTTGATAATAATGCACGTTGTTATCAAATATGACTTGCTCAGCATCAGCTAGCCCAACTCTGTATCCCAATTCCACAGCTGGGATTCATTTCCCCTTCACATAACTACTCAGCCTTAGAGGATTTTTATACAGGGAGCAGGTGCCTCTGTGTTGTTGTGGATCTTAAGCCCCACAGAAATAGACTGTAGCATCTTTCATCTGCACTTTTGCAATGTTTAACCAATTCTCCTTCTTCAGCTTGTCAAAAGAGGCACTGAAGTATTCATGTTGATTCTCAGAAACCTTTTGATCATTTCCCTTTCTTGGGCTGCTCTAAAAGATCTGCAGATGACTTAGAAAGAGGCCAACCAATGGAGAAAACCTATAAACTGGGTAGTAAGAACATCTTTCATTGTGATACTCTTCTGGAAGCTCTTCTGGAAGCTCTTCTGGTGTTTATTCAGAGGGCCACCAGGAATGCAGCTCCATTGCTTCTCCTGTACCTTTCACTACAGCCAGGAGATGTCTTTGTACCACTGTGCTCCATCCAGCACAGAAATAGACAGCTGAATCCTTAAGTTGGGTGTTCTTCAGATATAAAGAGGTGGTCTTGTTATTTGTTTCCAGCATCATTTCAAAATGATCCTTTACTTCAGTTCCTGGTGAAATCCGGAAAACCATAAATTCTGGCTGGCCTCCTGGATATTGCTTGTACCACTGAAGATTGTATTCCATTCCCTGATAGGAGCAGTCTAGTAGGATGGAGTCTTCTTCCTTAACTGAAAGAAATTGGTGCTTCTGGGTGACAGTAGTTTGTCCTGATACAACTGGAAAGGAATGGAAACATTTGGAAAAAATGATGGAGGGAGGGAGGGAGGGAGGGAGGGAGGGAGAAAAGAAGGAAGGAAGGAATCCACCAGGTTTATTTAGCTGATCCTTTAGAATTTCCAGAGGAACAATTATTCTATGTTTGACATCCTACTTTACATAATAAGGTATTTGAATTAATTTTTCTGCTGATGTTTTGCTTATTTCCTTGTTAATGGCTTTGGAAAGATTCAGATTCTAAATCATTTTGAGAAGATATAGTTTTTCCCTTTCAATCCACTAAAAAACCACAAGCTAAACATTATTTCCAACAATAAATGAAAAAAAAATGATAAAAAGGATACCTGCGGAGATGGCCAACAGCAAGGCAATGATCCTGTTCTCCAGATCTCCCATCCTTCTTCCTTTCTCTGCAACAGGCAGGACAACTCTGCCTCCAGAAAACACAGGAAAGTCTTTTGGGTGGCTTCATGCTCAGACCTTCCAGGGATTAAAGATCAGCTCGTGTCTGCTTCAATCCATGTAGATCAAAAGATGAGTGTACCACAAACCCAGAATATAGACTTTTTTTCTTTTCATTCGCACTCTTGAGCAAACAAACAGAAAAAGGTCCTGTTGTTTTCTAGCTGGGACAATTCATAAGTGTATGCATGTGAATTTTTCATACCATGCATAAGAATGGTATTAATGATTAAAGACTTTAGGAGAAACCCTCCCATACTACAACCTCTTATAATACTAGACAATACAGTATCAACAGTAGAGACCTTCAAATTTCTAGGTTCTATCATATCCCAAGATCTAAAATGGACACCCAACAACAAAAATATCATCAAAAAAGCACAATGAAGAATATTCTTTCTGCGCCAACTCAGAAAGTTCAAACTGCCCAAGGAGCTGCTGTTACAGTTCTACAGAGGACTTATTGAGTCTGTCATCTGCACCTCTATAACTGTCTAGTTTGGTTCTGCAACCCAACAAGACAGACACATACTTCAGGGGATAATTAGGACTGCAGAAAAAACAATAACTACCCACCTGCCTTCAACTGAGGACCTGTATATAGCATGAGTCAAAAAGAGGGCTGTGAAGGTCTTCTGGTTTGCAAGGCTTCGGCAGCAGCGGGGATTTGCCTTTCCGCGTGATCCCTGCTGCACTCGCTGCTGAGGTGCCCCCGATCCGGGTGGATTTGGGGGATATAGCTGCCCTGTAGAGGCAGCTGAAGATAGGGGGGATCCGAACAGGGTTTTGGGGGTGTTGCAGACCCTCTTCCTAGCCGGCAAAACTCCCTTTCCACAAGGCGGTGGAGCAGCGGTCAGCAATGGCCGCCACAAAGAAGTCTGCAGCTGGATAAGAAAGTGTAGGAGGAAGAAAGTGAAAGTTTTTTCTTTGGCTGAGCCAGGACAAAGAGGAGCCCTTAAAACCTGGAATTTGCCTTTCTATTACTATATTGTTCCCAGAAGGATTGTGTAAGCAGCAGAAGAAAGTGAAAGTGAAAGTTATTTCTTTTCACTCTCCTTCCCTATGGAAGTAGCTGATGGAAATCTGGAAAACCTGCTTGGGCTAAGAAGGTAAATAAACCTAAAAATTAAAGCCAAGGGGATAAAAGATTTTGGAACATTGGAATTAAAAATTAAAAGTTTATTGCAATAAGTGGGAAGGAAGAGGTAAAAAAAATTATCTTAAGACTTTATTGAAGAAGACTGCTTGAAGTTTATAAGATTAGAAATTAATGACAATAAGGCTTCTAAAAAATTATTTTGAAACGGCCTAATTGAATTTCACCCCAGGAGGAAGGGGGGGAAAAAAGAAGAAGAAGAAGAAAGTGTTAATGGAACAGTCTGCTTTGTTTTGGATTGCTTTGTGACTTTGTGACTTTTGGGGAACTATTTCTTGAAAGACTAGAAACATTTGGGTTCCTTTTTAAAATAATAATAATAATAATAATAATAATAATAATAATAATAATAATAA